AGCTTCTTGTTCTGTGAATAAGCCTACAGTGTAATTACATGTGCATCAGCTAAATTCTCATGTCCTAATTTCTGTTTAATTCCTTACATAACATAGGGATGAAATAAGGTATGTCAGGTACAACTTGAAAAGTAAAGATGATATTCTGGTCATTAATCATTTCTTGCAGTAGAAAGGACTCCTTGATGCTACTTGAAAAAACATTACTGTCATTCAAATGGTCCTTATGAAATTTTATATTAAATCCCTGAATATCTAGCATGTATAGGAAACCGGTGTGTAAATTAGCCCACCTAAGAAAGTTGGTTGCTCAGATGCTTATAACTATTGACTGGTTGATTTTGGAAGCTTAATTTTAGACCTGATGATACCAATCTTGCTTTGTAAAATAGTTTTCAGTTAGCATTGTCCAAGAAGGGGAAAACACTTGAAAGCCGTTTTTTGTGTCCTCAAATACAAGTGGAAATGCTGTCGAGTTTTTGTTGTTGTGGGTTCTTCTTTTGTGTGCTTTTTTTTTTTTAAAAAAAAAAACAGTTTGCATCTTTGCTTTCACAACTCTAGGGTGAAACAGAATGTTCTTCAAGTAGTATTTTTTTCTAGATAGTATATATGGGTCTTCATGTTATATATAACAGGGTTTGTGAGCTTTCAGTGTGAAAACTGATCAAATGAATCACTTCTTTTTAAAAAGAACTTTGCATATTTTTTGGTCAAATTCACCATACGAACAAAGTTCCTTTAATATTCAACTCTACTTTGCCAGTTAAGTACCCCACATATGTGTAATGGTATTAGTCTCACTGGCTTTCCTTAAGGAGAGAAACCAAATCTAATACCATGTCCCATTTCATCTGTCTTCATCCCTCTCTACCACACAGGTATAGAAACAGGCCTCTTTTGGCTTATCCCAAAAGGGCAAGGCTGAATCAAGGTATTTTTTTCTTGTATCCAAACTTCTTTCCTTGGTGAGGTGGTTTTGGCACAGATCTTAAAGTAACTGCATTGAGTAGTTGCACTGCTAATGTGTCAAAAAAAGAGTAACTTTTCCTCTCCTAGTCTCAAGATCTGTCACTTGATGGAATAGAGGTAACTGTGTCATCCAAGGGCACCTGCCAGGGCAAATCAGTTGGAAACTCTGCTGTATATAAGGTCGGTACCACTAGATGGCACTGGCCATTCATGCCAGGGCAGGAATTCAGAGTCAGAAATCACAGCTTCTTCCCCTCTTTCCCTTAGCAGCTAATTAAGAAATATTTGCTCTTTCCATGTATAGTTAATGTTAAGTGAGTAATGTAATTCTGGTTTTAAATTAATAAATTTTAACTTGGGGTCATTATAGGCTGCTCAAACAGAAAGTGAGAAGAAATTGAAAAAGGAAGATAAGAAAAAAGAATTACAAGAATTAAATGAGCTCTTCAAGCCTGTGGTTGCTGCACAAAAAATTAGCAAAGGTATGACTAACTGATTTATCTTAATGTGTATTCTTTTACTCAGGTATCTATTTCAGCTAAAAAAAAACCTTTAAAAATGCCATTTAATTAGGTAATAAAATAGGTAACTCTGTTTCCTTCTCTGTCTAGTTTACCGAGTAGGTTGTCAATTATCACCTGACAGTTTTTTAGGAACTCTTCTGGGCTTACTAGGTCATTTAGAGTATCAAAAGCTACACTGGTAGGGCAGAGCAGCTGTAGATGGTCAGGTTGATTAATTAGATGCTTCCAGATGAGTGGTGTTATTTTTTTATATATATATATAAAAAACAGCCTGTCTCCTCAGGCAAGGTGAACATGGAGGTATTACAGGGGATCTAATATGATAATGATTGTTTTCATAGGAAACTTCAAATCAGAACAGTTAAAATTACTTTTGTCCCACCTCAGAGTTAGGAGTAGGACTTGCAGTAAAACCACATTTCTGAAACCAACTCAGTTAGTGAACAAGCAAGTTTTGTCATGAAATGCAAGGCTAAGAGTGACAGTTCTGGGAGACTAACTGGCTGCTTTGTGAAAGGAAAAAGTAAATGGTACCTTTGGGAATGAGGGAAATATTAACAGCTCTTTGCTTTATCTTATGGAAGTGATGAAATTATTTGCAGGAATTTTGAACTAAACAAGTGTGTTTTCTATGCATGTCTTTAAAGTAAATCTGATATTTGTTCATTGTGGCAGTTTAGCAGCAACAAAGGCCAGTTTTCGATTCAGGATTTGCAGTGGTCAGCTTTCTCTGAGTAAAGCAGCTCTTGACTTTAAGTTAGTTCAGAAGACTAACTTTGCTCTTACTGAAGCTTTGGATTTCTACTGAAATTGCACAAGGAGAGCTATATGATCTCAGGGTTTTTTAAGAACCAAATTAATGTTTAAAAACTAAATGTCAAGATTTTAAACAGGTGTTGCTGTATGTACTGTAGTTACTGGTGACTTACACCGTGTAAAATCAGCAAGTGAGAAACTCAAACTTAAAATCTTAATGAACTTTACTATTATTTCTTATTTAATTGTCTCTTAAAGATCCTTCTTAATTACTTTTCTCACCTTCTAATGGTCAAATAAGTCCTTCAGGGAGATGACAGTTACAGAGACTGTAGTTGATGGAGTAGTTCATACTATAACAACAATTGTCTGTTTTGGGAGTTATGCAAAGCCATCTTATTAATACTAAGGAGTTTTTTCTTGTGATGAACTTGAGATGAAATAAGGTTCATTTCTAACAATGTTTTAATTCTTCGAAGATTCTAAAGATGATATGATTCCAGCTATGGTTCCCAGAACTTCAAGTGTTCAGCTTTTGCTTAAAAATGATATCACAGTCTTGAAACTTTGTTTACTCAGGTGCTGACCCCAAATCTGTAGTTTGTGCTTTCTTCAAGCAAGGGCAATGCACTAAAGGAGACAAGTGTAAGTTTTCTCATGATTTGTCTTTGGAAAGAAAGGGTGAAAAACGAAGTGTCTACATTGATGCAAGAGATGAAGACCTTGAAAAAGGTACAATACTTAAAGAAAACTACTACTAAGCTATTCTGACTGACACAGGATTTTCAAGAATAAGATTTGTCTTCTGCTGTGGTTATGATCCTGAAGAGCCTGATCAATTACCAAAGCATCCCATGCCACTCTGTTCAAAATTATGAACAACAGTGAAACTTGCTGTAAAAAGTGTAGTCACAGATACTTCTTAGACCTTGTTGAGAAAAACAAGTATCACATAGTGATATTGGATGTTGCTTTTTAACTCCTGCTGTGTAGTGTATTATGGCTTATGTGTGGCAAGTTATGCAGTATTTGATCAGTCTTACAGTCACTATTCCTAAGTTCTGGAATATGGAAGTGCAAAAGGAGAAGTGGAATGAGCAACCATAGTTGCCTTCCAGAACTATTGCTACTGTTTGCTCATATGTGCACAGTTCTAGATTTCAGTATACTTGGGGCAATTTTTTGTGACTTTCTCTTTATCCCAAATAATTAGTTAGCCAAGTACTCTGCATTTTAATTTTATTTCACAAGGGTTAGGTATTTTCTAGTAAAAATAAGTTATTTTGCTTGCCCACAATTCATCACATCTTGCTTTGAGTTTCAACCTCTGTTGTGTGAAATTAATATGATAGGATCCCATAGATTGCTTGCTACTTTTACCACTGCTAATCTTCCTTTGATGGCACCTTCTTTGAATCTTAACACAGAAAATTTAGTATTACTTCTTTCTATCCTCAACTTGAATTTGCTTTATTTCTGGACATGAACCTACAGCCTTCTCTTCTAGTCATTCATCTTCCTTTTCTTTTTCCTTGTCAGTGATCAATAGTGTATGGGTGGAATGATGTAATTTTTTAGCCCTTAACAGACACTTGATCCATGTCAAAATGTAAGTTTCTAAGGCTTTTGAGGAATGTGTCTTGTGAGAGGCACAGGATGGTTTGAAAACTATAAGGAAAGACTGAGTTTATTTTCTGTAATTTGAATTGCATATTACAACCGTCATTAGGGAGAACAGGAACTTGACGACATGGTTTAGTATTGGAAATTTCTATGAAGCCATCTTTTGCCTTTTTCTAGATACAATGGATAACTGGGATGAGAAGAAGCTGGAAGAAGTGGTGAACAAGAAGCATGGTGAGGCGGAAAAGAAAAAACCCAAAACTCAAATAGTATGTTGGTTTTTTTACTTGAGTTGTAGTAGAGAGAACCAACTGCAGACTGCTAGTAGATATGTTGGTTAACTGAAGATTTTAATTTGAAAACTATAATTGGAGTGTACAGTTGGGCTGATAGTACTTGTAATGTATTTTTAAAAAGCCACTCCAAATATCTTTCAGTCATGATAGGGTTTTTTCATGTGAAAAATACAAATGATAGTAGATTAAATTACTTTAAAATACAAGTGCTAAAGGAGTCAGTAATATATATAATGCATCCTATTTAGAAGGTGCAAGTGTTGTGGGTAGTTAGGTCTGTCACCTGATTGCAGTGGCTGGCATATATACTGACCCAGGTACTGGGTGACACAAAAGCATTCAAGTTTTCTCCTCTAAATTGACATTCACTAATTATTTGTAGTTCCTGACCTTGAACTTCAAGCTTTTTCTTTAGCTTGAGCACTAAATTATATAACACCTTAATAACTTCTTTGTTCTGCAGAACTATTTCACCTTGTTTTCAAAAACAAGCTATTGATACAAGGTTGTTGATACTGCCCAAATCTGCAGGAGATAAAGTTTGATCTGGTTTAGTCTGAACTATTAATGGCTTTTTGAAAGTTCCAGAATGGCATCTTTACCTCAGGAGTGTGATCTGGAGGGTTGAACATCTGAGGCAGAATCATGGCATGTTGTTTAAAAATATACTTGTTGCTGAGGAGGAATAGTAATTCTGTCAGCATGCTTTGACATGTGTGGCTGGCTTTACAGTAGTATACGGTTTCCAGTCTGAGTCACCCAGTTTTTAAAATATTTGGATTCATTAAAGGGAAAAAGCTGTTGACTCAATGAATGTTAGTTAACTAGTTGCACTTGTTGTACTTTTTTAGTAGCTATGCGTTTAATGTATTTTAATTGTTTTGGAATTACTGTGTTTCTGACAGGTAGTAGCTGTAACCGTAGTGCAAATTTGCTGGGGGTGTTAAAGAGTGCAGTGTTAACAACCATTTTTGTACACAGGTCTGCAAATACTTCCTTGATGCTATTGAAAACAACAAATATGGATGGTTTTGGGTCTGCCCAGGCGGAGGAGACAACTGCATGTATCGCCATGCTCTCCCTCCAGGTTTTGTATTAAAGAAAGACAAAAAGAAGGAGGAAAAGCAAGATGAAATTTCTTTAGAAGATCTAATAGAAAAAGAGGTAAAGTTGTCAGGTACTTTTTTTGGGGTGGTTGTTTTTGTTACTCTGGAGAGGTAGTTTTCAGTAACTTCCTAGTTTATAATGTATAAGAGTGAAATGTTCTTAAATCTGTATGTGCTAGGGTGAAGGGTGCCTAGTATTTGATAAATTTGTTGAGAAACTTACTTAGTGAATAGATTCAACAACAGCTGCATATGTAGTGTAGGTGTTGCTAATCTTTTTTAGGAACCTTCTGTTTCTTACTCCTTTTTTTCCTTGAATGCAACTGCTTATATGGGCCTTTCTCATCCCCAGCTTACTGCCTTTTTAGTTCTTGCAAAACTGTAGCAAGGAAACGCAAGAGACTGGGGCTTTCTTGAAGGTGTTAGATGGCTGCTTTGCTTAGTTTTGTCACCATTGACTCGCAGCATCTATTTGAGGAGAACCTGAGTTAATATCCTTAGTTTCTCCACTTCGTATGTAAACTTTCACCTTGACTTACCAACTGGAAAACCATATATTGAGTCAAATTTGCAATTGATGGTGCATGTTTAACAGGGATGAGAATGAAGAAGGAAATTGAAAGAGGTAATTTAAATTAGTTTCTGGAAAAGAGTAGTTGAATTTCTAATTTGTTACAGCCTGTGGAAATGATTTAAAGCATTAATCAGTTTCTGTCATTGACAGCGTGCTGCCTTAGGACCAAATGTTACCAAAATTACTCTAGAGTGTTTTATTGCATGGAAGAGAAGAAAAAGACAAGAAAAAATTGATAAGGCTGAGCAAGATATGGAGAGGAGGAAAGCAGATTTTAAAGCTGGCAAAGCATTGGTGGTACGTTCTACACTAAAATTCTTAATGCAAGAAGAAAGATTAAATAAGTTTTATGTAATAAGGTAGCTGGCCTGGAATTTGCTTGCTTTTTTTACAGCAGCATAAAGCCTGCTAAGTGATAATTAACCTTTCTTTTTCTGTGAACAGATTAGTGGAAGGGAAGTATTTGAGTTCCGACCAGAGCTGGTTGATGCAGATGATGAAGAAGCAGATGACACCCATTATATTCAAGGAACAGGCGAAGATGATGAGGTGAAGATCAGGATAAACTCCAACTCAGATAATGTTTCAAGTTGCATTGAAGCTTTACAACTCTTGAGAGCTCTAAAAGTGCAATTAATCAGCTGAGTTCTTAGTTTAACACTCCTACAGAGTTTCTATTTTGTCAATGTTGGTGTCAGAAGGAATATTTGAAAAACTTAGTAGAAATACTGCGGTAAGAAAATTTCTGTAGAAAAGTAATACCTGCAGAGCCTCTTGGCTTCTTATTTTTTTCAGATGGAAGACCCTGTGTGCATAAATGATGTAGATTTGAATCTGTATGTCCCAAAGGCTGTAGATGAGACTGGTATTACTGTGGCTGCTCCGGACCGTTTCAGCACATACAGTTCTATAGAAAAAGATGGTAAGTTCATGATTTAGGTATCACTAATACAAGGTTTAATTGGTAAGAGCTTCCCAAAAGGTAGAGAGAAGAATTATTGATCTGTTAGAAGAAAGTATTCATTTAAAAAGGGTGAAGGAGTGAAATGACTACCAATTATGTATGTAGTTAATAATGGAAAAGCTTGTAAATGCTTTGTGCATGTATTGTCTTAGATTCAAGTCTAAATAAACAGGTAGATGTTTGTGGCAAGTAAATCTGTAGTATGTTACTTTTAGCAGTTTTACCTTTTCTCAGGTTTAGTAAATGAATGCGTAGTAGCAGCAAAAATCAAAGCTTTTCTTCATATTTTCTAGGTAGTGTAAGGTAATTTGTAGTTCCTTGGTGCATATGTGGAATGCAAGCCATGATCTTTGAGACCCTGAGTCTTTTAACTGCAGACTTGAGGTAGTAGCAGGTCATTAAGTTGGACTCTGTTATTAAAATGGGAGTTGGAAGTATTGTTTTGACCCTTTTTAATAGTTGATGGTCCAAACCTGCATATTAATCAGGTACATGCAATTTAACTCATCTAAGTCTACATAAATTTCAAGTAAGGTAACCTCTTTATAGTTTGAAAACTTTTAAGTCTGTTCAGTAGGATTGTGATACTTGTGACACTGAAACGTGTAAGAATGTATTTTTGTTTTCAGATAATAAATTAAGTGAAGCTTCTGGTGGTGAGATAAACAGCAGTGAGCAAAATGATTTAGAGGAAGATAATGATGGAGATGGGGAGTTGGAAAATGGAGTAATTGATGCAGTTCCAGTTGACGAAAATCTTTTTACTGGAGAGGACTTGGATGAACTAGAAGAAGAACTAAACACTCTTGATCTAGAAGAATGAATTTAAAAGCTCAAGTGAGGAACTAAATCCATGTGACAAAGTGAAAACTGACTCCATTTTTTCTCCTTTCTGAATAGAATTCTTGAACAGGATGTTTATGGTTACCCAGCTGATAGTGATGGGCACGTCATACACCAGGAATATTTTCCTTCAGTCTCATCTACTCCAATCTTGACTATGCTCACAGTTAAAGATTAAAAGTAGCTCATAATTACATGACAGCTGATTTTTCAGAATGAGATTATAACTTTCGACTAAAAGTAGGAAGTGTAACTGCTTTGCCAGTATCCAAGTGTACGTGGGCAGTTTAATACCAGGTACAGTATAAAAATCCCAGTATACATTCTTCACCAGAAATGCATTTTAGTGATTGTGTTGATTTAGAAACTGCCTGGAGTGTTTTTAGGCAGTATACCCTGATGGAGCTGATGCAGATTATGCTTCCTTGAGTGGTGATTAGCTTTATTGGATCACCTGGATACTGAAGATAGTGAACTGATACATCATACATAAAAATATGGTGCCCTCTGTTTAAAATGTTTTAAACTTTTCCACCACCTTTTGCCAACGAAACTGTAAATAAAAGCTATGAACTTTAAAATACCTGTGTTGATTTTTCTCTGTTAAGTCAGGATATCATTCCAAGCTATTAACTTCATTTTCTAATACAGGGATGAATAGTCTTCTCTCCAATCCTGATAAAGGAGTGATGGTATTGGCTTCAGTTAAATTAGGGCTAACTGCAATTAATTTTTTGTGCACTTCATGCAGTGTTAAATTCAGCACCTGAGTTTGATCCCCTAATGTTCTTATATCCTACCTATCCATGAAGCAATTTCGTATGTTCTAAGTAAGGTCATTCCTATTAGTCTCCTTCTTTCCCCACTATGTTTTCTATTTTAGCAAAACACTTGAAGTTCTGTAGAGCAAGCATGTTACAGTCTAAAAAATGCCTGTCATACCTTTGGCATTCTGCAACTTGCAGTTGGGCAGTAGGAAGTTGCCTCAAAGGGGAGCCATGTTGTACCCTGCACTGTGTATTCCCTGCAGGCAGCACAATCACCTTATTTTGAAATCAATGGAACCCCTTCCATAAAGATTTCTCAGTAGTGGTGCTTTTTCAGGGGGGCTGTAGGTCATGCCTTCTTGCCATACTACTAACAATATCTGCAACAGTATTGCTGCACTAATGATACTGTTGGTATAGATTTTTCTAAAGCTTTTAAATGGTTACTTAAAGACCATTAAGATTTGTGGTGGTGTTAGTGAGCTTTCTCAAACTGCATTTGGGTGGTAATGTTTGCTTTAATGGTGACTTCTGACACTGATCAGTTGACTCTTGTATCATGAATGCTATTTCTAAAATAGTTCACCTGGTCATCTTTTTGCCCCTTTCTGGCATCTTTGTGGATTTTTTTTCCTGTAGGAACAAGAAGCAGTGTTTGGGAGTAAGAGGCATACTGAAAGTGACTTCTAAATGTAAGTGTTTTAAGGAAGAACTGCACTGTCAGATATAAATATTTATTTGTGGAGGTTTTGCTCCTGTGGCCATGAATGAAGAGCACTGACAGATCATTGTATTCAATTGGCTGGAAATCGGATACCTGGATATCAGGACACTTAAGAATGCAATTCGTATTTGAATGTATAATGCCTACTTTTTCAAAGGTGTATATTTTAAATGGAATAAAAGTAATTTAATGATTTTTAAGGTTGAAAATGGTTTTCTATGTTTTGTCTTAGAGGCTGATACATTGTATATAATACTGATCTGTTTCACTGATGGAAATAGGCTGCCTTTGCCACAATTGTATCAATGTTAATTACTTTTTCCAGTGGCGGAATGAGAGAATAACTAATACTCATGTTAGCAAATAAAACACTGAGATAGATGGGGAGAGAGGGACTGTGTGTGGCTCTTCTGGGTCTAAGGGGCTCAGTTTTGTGGCTTAACTCTTTTGTGCATGTGTTACTTCAAGCTTGAGAGTCATCTTGTAGAGTATTGAAGTGTTGAATATGTGTAAGGTAGCTGATTAAGAACTTGTTTTCATAGGTAGTAGATATTGACAGATGACTTCATGTGGTCAGGAATTTGTATCTAGTTATCCCTTTTTGGATTTTACCCTTTGCTCTCAGCTGAATCCAGCACTTCTCATGACTGGATTTGTTCTAGCCTCTTGATTGATCTGTGTAGATTTCTAACCATGAAAGCAGGGTGATTGCTCCTGAAGTGTAATATTCAGCTGTACTTGTATAAGTAACATGACGTCTTACTTGGTTTGCTTGAAGGTCATCTTGAATACAACCTGCTGGAAGTTGTTAATCTTGTGAGTTCAAGAAGCCTAAACTTGCAGCTGAGAGGGAGTTTCAGTCAATAAATGCTCAATTAAAAACAAATGCAAATGCCTTAAGGTAGATCAACTAATATGTTGAAAATGAGCACTGTGATAGAAAGGAGTCCCCCTGCATGTGATGTACCACAGGGTTTTTCCTAGTGATGCAAGTTTCCCGGAATTAGCCTGATGTGGACTGAGTCGTGTGGAAAAATGGGAGATCTGCATTTTAACATGGCATCTACAGTGACTGTTCAGTTAGTATGGGACTAAAATACTCAGTGTTCCATTGTTACAGTCAAGGTCAGCCTGCAAAGGATCATAAGGCAGGAAACTAGGATCTCTGCCATCAGTTTCATTCCTGTGCTTTGCAGTTTGCTCCACTATTGGCAGCAGGTTGTTCTGATCTCTTCAGTGAGGACTATGTGAGAAGCGTGGTGTAGCTATCTAGGGTTTTCACTTTTTCTGAAGAAACAAGTGTAGCCCTCTGCACTTGCAGCATCTTGGTTACTGGACATCTGTGTGGTCAATAACACTTGTAAAAATGCTGCAGAAAGCCCATCACTTTACTTCCAGGTCTGTGCTGTTATGGAAGTAGAATATCTGTTGGCTTGGTTTTGGTGTATGTTAAAATTTGTCAAACTGCTTGAGCAGCTTCAGTTGGATCGGATTAACTTGTCACACTAGGCTTTTGATACCTGTGTCAATGTTAGGCTTGGCATTGCTCTTACTCAGAGCTCCCCACTTGTTTTATACTTAACACTGATAAACGCCTGGAAAAAATAGCTAAAAAAATAAATAGTGACTGTAACTATTACATTATCTTCTAGTTGTTTTGAACACAAATATTGCTGTGTCTTAATGGGCAACACTCCCCAAATGGTTTTTATGAAGGGGAGGTAATACTTGTGATAAACCTTGGTTGAAGCAGTGGTACTTGCCTTGGCAATTCAGTACTGTCATAACAGTTGGCATTGATTTAGAAAACAGATGGTACAGAAAGAACTTACGCATACCTATCAGTTTATTTTTATTAATATTTTGTTTCAGCTTCCTAGAGTTGTGGAATAACAAGTGTCAATAAGGTGTCTCTGGTGTTCTGAAAGGTAATTTCTACTTTGCAATGCTTATGCCTCTTGAAAAATCACCTGAATATAACAAGCAATGCAGACTTAAATATTTAAGCTTGTATATCTTGCAGATAAGGTACTTGGAAGCTTCATAATCAGTGTTTGCTCTTGTCCCATGTGCAATTTTTGTGTAACTTGACTGAAACTATAGAGTGAATAAGTGACAGAACTAGAAATCTTCCAAGGTTAGATCTTATTTTTACATAACGTAGTTATTACATTCCTAAGTTGAGAGAATGAGGTTGCTTTCATATGCAAATGCATTTTAAATTCATGTGATATATTGTGGGAAATATGCCCCCCTGAATAACATCAGTAAGGATGGCAAGTGAATTAGGAAAAGGAAACCTGAGAAGCCCAGAGGAACCACAAAGATACCTGGAACAGCAGTTGCACTCCATCAAGGGATGACACCATGTATTAGACGAAGACCAGTTATACTCCAAAAACCAGATTAATAGGGAAGAAAGAGGTAAGAAAATGCCAAGCCCAGCTGCTTCTCAGAAGCACTTGTGGTATGTACCTTTGCAATGTTTTCAGTCTAGAAGTATGGACTTGGTATCCCTTGATGACTTTCTCTTCCAAGGATGTTTCCTCCTTTCTGCTTTGCCATCCCTACAGTAGTACTTTTTGAAAACCCAGCAGTTCCACAGCTCTGCTACATTTGTTTTGACCATGACTTGAACTAGGTTGTATTAGATCTGTAGGAGAAAGTACTGAGAGCAAGTGACAGATCTCCTATGCCTTCCTTAGTGTTGACTTGATGCCAAGTAAGGCAAGTAGATAGAAAAAAAGCAGTCAATATATTTGTTTCAAGAATGTGATCTCTTGATGTATTTCAGTGCTAGAAATTTTTTTGCTAAGTCAGAGACTTTGTCTCTCAAGGTGCTTTGTTCTTTGTTAACAACAGGCTTTAATCATCAAAATATTTAATCAAGTTAATAGTCTTTTTTCCTGATTAGGTACCTGATGTATTTTTTGTAGTTATGATCACAAAGTGTTCTTACAGTGATATCTGCCATTCTGTTTTTCCCTAGTATTGGACGATTAGAAGTGACTTTGGCTTAGTCTGTCACTTTTAGTTTCTTCATTTCAATAGATGCTTTGTCTTGTTACAGAGAGGGGCTGTTGCTGATATTAGCAATAAGGCCAAGATGTTTTATTCATTGATGATGTTATAGCCCTAATATGTGAGTACAATGGGCTCCTTCATAGCACATCACTGAAATGAATGGCAGAAATAAACGGTTCTTTTGGTCATAAAAGAGCAGTGCTTCAGTGGTGTTTAGTGAGAGACACCTCAGAGCTACTTGTTCTTGATTTCACATTGGTGATTGAGAAGTGTTAAAGATTGTAAAACATGTGGCCACAAACTGATGTGCTCAAAGTACATCAAAACAGACTGCAAAAATGAGATGGGCTCATAAATTAAAGGAAGATAAAACTGAAAAGAAGGCATCACAGCTTTGTGTTAAAGGAATGTTCCTATTTCTTCCCTATTCATTTTATTTCTTGGTTGACCTTCTGACACTGAGGCTATCAGTCCTGTGCTCTGTACATTGCATGAAAAGGTGGGGTCCAAGACATCATGGTAGTTTCATCTCTATATAAAAGTGTGCATTGCAAGCACTGTGTTTGCTATGGATCTTAGTCATGTCTGACATGTCAAACGGGTACATTCTTGTGGTCTGGGAGCAGTAGACTAAAGATAAAGCTGAATTGACCTCAGCTTTCAACATGCAATCACTGTAGCTTTGTCTTCTTAAAATCAGACAGCAGCAAGGTTTCTAGTCCAACATTTAATCTTCAGTCTTGGTTATTATTTCACTGTCTTCTCTCTCTTCCAAGTATAAACCCTACACAAGGGAAGCTTTTCTGACTGCTCTCTCTAATCCATATCAACCAGTTCAGTAATCCTTGTGCAAGCCAGC